AAATACTCACATTCATATCATGTAGGGCTGAACGATTTATCGATTTCAAGTCGAAATCGCGATTTGAAACAACGCGATTAGGCTGCGATTTAGGATATACATTATACAGCAGGGTTTAAAACTCTTGTGAGAATAGTTTTCCAAATTCATGCCGTGCTCTCTATGTGACAGTCATGCTCACCAATCAGAAGTGGCCCAAGACGACGGAGTATACGCCCACAAACAGCAAATACTTGAAACCCAAGTAAAATGTTGCCTTCGCGGTGCATAGAAAATACTGATTCTGCTACTGAGTTGTAAGTGAATTGCCTTCCCATTTCATGGTCCGAGATTGTTTCAAAAAGATCCTGTCATCAATAAAACCGGCGACCTCCTTTTAACTACCAGCAGCAACATATTTCAGCGTATCACACCTTTAGTTTTTGTTAATGGGAAATCGCATTAGCATGACCCATCAAAACAAGAAAGAGACAGTCAGTAATCCTGTGACCCCCAGAAAAGCCATAGAACCCATAATATAGTCGTGTTTGTCATATGTTTTTGTGCTCATTGATTTAAGTATTGATTTCCATAGATTAATCTTGTGAAATGAATCTTAATCCCACAACTAATTAAATAAAAGCCTCGCTTTTAACATAGCCTACTAAAAGAACAGATCACTTTAATCGCTATTATAGTTATGGGCACAGTGTTATCATTTAGAAAAGACATTAAAAAGTGACACAAAATGTTTTTTCATTTTCTCATTCGTTTTGTATTTGTCAGAGCAACAAGGCAAAGGAATGATAATCCGCTTCAGTCGAAATCTGCATTTTACGAGCTCATTTCAAATAGAATGCAGGGTTACCAACTTTGGTCAGCTGCCTCGAGTGAGGCTTTCTGTTTGAGACGGATCTGCACATACATTTACGTGTATGTAAGAGTTTTATTACCATGTAAATAGTATGTAGGGTTTGCAAACTGCCCTAACGTTTTTGATGCAGCTAATTCTAAGTTCATAATGGAATAATTTATATTTGCCATAAGATTTCTTGCGTGTGAGTCTGAAAGCGTGTTACCCAAACCCGTGAGAGTTTGCAACACTGAACACATAATTTTTTTTGTTTCCCCTGAATTGATTTGTATAGAGAATAACCATATAGCCTATGCTACAGTTGATAAAAAGCGGAAACTTCGACCAACATATGACATCACCAATAAACTATACGTCTATTTATTTGACATTTTATAAAATGCATACTACGGTCGAAATTTTTCCAGCTTTACTATTTCAGAACAGCCACTCTGTTATGAACATTGTAGCTTTTTGGTTGAAATTGATAGATTTGCTGCTGATATTAACACTAATAACACATTAGCGCAAACAAATGGGCTGCATACACCGAAGTAGTTCTTACTTGTTCATTGGCGTGGGAAAAGGTGTTTCTAGTGTTATTAGGGGACCAAGCTGTTTGCTGCATGATCGCTATTGTTTTTCTTTTTGCTGCAACTGTATTCATTATTACCTTATTTAACTTAACACACCACATCTTTAAATTCTTATCCTTGCATTAGAATATAGACCAGTTCATATTTTGACGGTATCTCATGTGGTAATGCTGGGTCATATGTTTTAAATTTATTACACACTTAATATTGAACTGAAGCTTGACGTATAAAACATTATATCGCACGTCAAATCGTAATTGCAATGTCTGTCAGAAAAATCGCGATTAGACATTTTACACAAATCGTTCAGCCCTAATATCACGCATTTAGAAGTTTAGTCAAATACATATTGTTGTTTAATATGGTCAGTGTTAATAGTGTTTAACTGAATGAGTCATAATACATAGGTGTAAAACATTGCTTTGTCTTGTGCAGAACTTATGTTGAGAACTCCCAACTTGGAAAACATAAACTTCACATGGAATCAGATGACTGCCTCTGAGTTTGAGAAGCACTGGAGAGACAGTCAGAGAAGAAATTAGACTTCATTTGTATGATTCAGGTGAACATGTCTGCAGTTTGCTGTGTTAATAGGTGAATGCTGAGTGAAATTTCATTCGATAGGCCAACAGTGTTATTTTGAGAGATTGTAGCCAAAAGCTTCTGACTTCAAATCCCAGGATTTGCCCTGCAGTTACAACCATGGTCAAAGGCTTCATTTTGTCATTAAATATTAATCTATATAAACAGATCCCTGCTACCTAAACAGTGTGGATGTGAAATTTAAGGAAGCTTGATACCCTTATAACATCAGTGGGAATGAGAGAATCCCAGGATTGTAGTCAGTGTCTCATTTGTGCTGGTTGTTGGGCCACACAAACAGCTTCAGAGAGGTTGAGAGGAGGAGACTATGGATTTAACTCCTGTTTCATTGTGCTCATATATATCACATTCCGGTAGACTTTTGTTTCACTATGTTTATATACAGACATGGACAAATTTGTTGATACCCTTCCACAAAAAAACAAAAGTTATCTCTGAAATAACTTGAAACTGACAAGTGTAATGGCATCACTTATTGTTTATTCCATGTTTAACAAAAAACAGAATTTGCTTTTTATTATTGATTCAGTCAAATATCTTATATAATTAAACAAATTAACACTGCACAGACAAAATAGATGGTACCCTCAATTTAATATTTTGTAGCTCCACCTTTTGCAGCAATCGCTGCCCACAAGCGATCTCTGTACTTCACAATGAGACATCTGCACTTGCCAAAAGGTAGTTTGGCCCACTTTTCCTGAGCAAACTGCTCAAGCTGTCTCAGGTTTGAAGGCTGGCATCTCCACACTGCAATTTTCAGATCTTAGTTCAATAGGATTAAGATCTGGGCTCATGGAGGGCCATTGAAGAATAGTCCAATGATTTTTTTCTTCAGCCATTCTTGAGGGCTTCTAGCTGTACAGTATGTTTTGGGTCATTATCCTGTTGGAGGACCTGTGACTGAGGCTGAGCTTTCTGACACTGGACGGTATGTTTCGCTCCGGGATGCCTTGGTAGTCTTCATTGTGTCCTGCACAGATTCAAGGTTCCCGGTGCCAGATGCAGCAAAGCAGCCCCAAAACAAAACTGAGCCCCCTCCATGTTTCACAGTAGGTATGGTGTTCTATTCTTTTAAAAGCCTCATTTTTCCATCTGTAAACATAGCACTGATGTGACTGGCCCAAAAGCTCCAGTTTGGCTTTATGTTTTTCTGTCAATAGTGGAGCCCTCCTGGGTCTTCTTCCATGGAGCCCATTATTGTTCAAAATGTGATGGATGGTGTGATCAGAAGGTAACGTATCTTGACCGTAGAGCTCAGCTTGAATTGTTCTGGATGGTTTCCTTTGTTCTTTTTTGACCATCCACACTGTCCTTCTGATTAACATGGGGTTGCATATCCTCTTGTGTCCACATCCTGGGAGGCTGGTTACCGTCCCATGGACCTTATACTTTATAACAATATTGGCAACTTGTGGTCACAGGAACATGAAGCCGCTTTGAAATGGTCCTATAGCCTTTACCTTTAACATTGTTGTCTATGATCTTCTTTCTGAGCTGCTCAGACAGCTCTCTTTTGTTTTCTCTGGTCCATGTTCAGGGTGGTGCACACAATGATACCAAACAACACAGTAGCATGTTCTTTCCCTTTAGAATTTAGTGGTCATTGTCAACACACCACAGCACACAGTGCGCAACAACGAAATGTGTCCTCTGCATTTGACCCATATGTGACTTTCATGACATAGCAGGGGGCAGCTAATTCAGCGCCCGGGGAGCAGTGCTTGGGGGCGGTACCTTGCTCAGGGTACCTCAGTGGTGACTGGCTGGTGGGGGATTCGAACCTGCAATCTTTCAATTACAAGTGCGCTACCCTAACCATCAAGCCACCACTGAATGGCTGAAGAAGAGCTTGAAGGCACCTGTGATACTGACCAACAAGTTTGTCCACGTCTACAAATCACTCTCAATTAGCTTTTGTTTCAGTTTGGTTATATTGTATGTAAAACAATGTGCATGCTTACTGTAGGTGTAGCAATAGTAATAGCAGTTATGGTATAATAATCAGTACTTATGTAAAAGGACATCATTTTTCCAGTTTATCAATCAGGTTTTATTGGTTTGAAATGTTTATACTCTTTTTCAGATTTATCAAACATGGAAGAGTATATGAAAAAATATATGTGAGAGGGTGTGGCCCTTGCAGGAAAGTTTAGGAGTTTTAAGGACAGAACTGAAGGGCCTTGTACCAGGAACCTTGAAAAGGTAGAAAGATAGATGAGAGTCGAGCTCACGGGAAACATCTGGCAAGTTCATGTAGGGACGTCACTCACGGAAAAGGTATAGAAATGGACGTTAATTTGTGAAAGGGGGCTCTTCTCCTGTGCACACAGATGAAATAAACGGGAAACGTCTCATTCATGTCCATCCGAAATTGGGTTCCTGCTGGTTGACGTTTCCACCAATAGAAAATCATTGTCGTTGTTGTCTTAGGGGCCTAAAAATCTGCAGTCCCTAAATGTGTGTCTTGAATTTTAACCCGTCCATTTGCATTTTCCCCCTCAGATGGTGGACTGTGTTACTATCTCATTTTTCCGGAGTCTCTTAAATGAAAATGGAAAACTTCTCATCATACTTGTTGCTGGTATTTTTATTTATTTATTTTTTACCTTTTACTTTGCTGCCTTAATGTAATAACTATAGGATAGTGCAGAATGAGAAACTACGTAATAAGAGTGTTAATCTGTATGTTTAGCCCTGCAGATTGAAATTAATTATTGGACTGAAATGGGCAGATAGTGGTAGGACGCAGAGGACAGGATTGTTGGTGACACACTCCCTGGTTCCCTAACTCAACGGTTCATTGCTGTCTGTTTCAGGAGAGAGTGGTTGGGGCAAGCTGTGGGACACTTATGGGAAGGAGCTATGTTGCACCGAAATAACTCACTGGGTGACAGCAGCAGACATCAAGCGCTACCTCACTGCTGAAGGAATCAGCTTTGAAACCTTTGTGTTGCCTTCGACGATGGACATCACAGAATGCTTCATCCCTGGTGACAAGAAGGGGGAACTGCTACTGGACTTTCTCACTGAGTTGCAAGACTTCAGCCACAGTGCACCTCCAGAGCTGAAAGCCGGCGTGATGAGCTTCCTGCGTAGCCCTGACTGCAGCAGTCAGGTGAACGGAAGGATCATATTCA